TGTTTCCTCGCGAGATTTGCACGGCTGGGAGGCAAGGGGGGGTCCTGGGGGGGTGGAGGAAGCTCCAACAGTGGGGGAGGAGGGGGAGGGGACGAGGAAGGTGGGGGGCTCCCCGCTGCCCCGGCGCCCCGCCTCCTCCAATCAGAGGCCGGGCTGGCGGGCAGGGGTTAAGCAGGGGACCCCGCGCCGGCAGAGGAGGCCGCGCCTCGCCGGGCGGCTGAGGGCGGGCATCGGGAGGCGCTGGCTGGCTTGCCGCGACGCGAGGAGAAGTCGGGCGGCCTGGGGGCGCCCCGCGGCTGTCCCGGGCCCGAGTCCCGGAGTCCCCGCCGCCGTCTTTGTGTAACCGGCCCCCGCCCCGTGGGACCGGCCCCGGCCAGGGCAGTCGGGCTGGCGTCCCGGGCCGCGGACCCGCGCTGGAGGGGCCTGACTGCCCGAGCCGGGCCTTTCCTGGATCCGCCTCGCCGACCCCCGCGCGCGTTGGGTGAGAAGTAGGGTTGCTCTGCCCACGGATGGATTGTAGAGGAAGAAACCCGTGAGCCGGTGGACCCCGCCCGAACCTCCCGGAGACGCCCAGTTAGTGAGTTCGCTGTGCCCACCCGTGTTCTTGGATTCCCACAGCCGCCACTCTCCAAAGCCGCCCTCCCGCTCCCAAAGCCCCCACTCGGTGCCCCGGAGAGCGGGCTGCACTTTCCCTCTACATACCTGGTTGGCAGGGCGTCTCCAGGGACAAAATGTGCCCTGGGATCAAAGCTGAGCCCCCACCCCCACCAGGATGCTGCCCTCCGGAAGGGGGGGCGCTGCCCCCAAGGGACTGTCCCCGGGCACCCAGGGGGAGGTTCCATTTCAATCTCAGATTAAAAACACGGCCCTCCTGGGTACTTACGGGGGTCTGAGGGTAGGTGCTCGAATGAAAAAAAAAAACAGGCCTGCCCCTCATAGAGTGTCTACTGAGGAGTGAGAAATATGAAAGGATGAGCTCTTGGGGGCAAGGAGGGCTTCCTGCATAGGACAGGGCTCCCACTGTGACCACCCAGCGCCAAGGAAAAAAATCACATTCTTCACTGACTCCCATGAGCCAGGACACTGACTTCAGTGCAACTACCCAACTTACTATTTTCCTCTGATGCTTCCTTCATCAGATGTCTGAAGATGACTTAGGGACTACAATGGAATCAGAAGGGGAAAAATTCACACCTTGAATACCAGCGTTGAATTTTTCCAGGGGTAGGCAAATGCTCCAAGTTGGAGTTTCTGCCCTTATTTCTTTCTTATTACTTATTAATTCTTCCCTATGTTAAGAGAACATTGACCTGCACAAAGGACAAAGGATGGCAGTTTACTTTTTGTTAGTTCTTCAACCTTCCAAACCCTTGGGGCAAATTCAAGCACTGTGGAAAAACTCCATTAAACCAAGAGTCATCTTCCTCCAGATAGCGGACTCGTTGGGAAGTTGGACACACATATTTACAAAGAGAATGGTGTTTTGAAGGAGAGGGGGAGAGGGTAGGAAAAAGAGCAAGAGGGAGGACTACATCGGAGTCCAGCCTCCGCTGCATGATAGGGACAGAGCAGGAGAAGCAAAGAGCGGGCGGTGTGACTTCCACTGCACAAGAGAAAAGCAAATGAAGCAAGTTCTTTCATTGTAGCCAATGATCAAGAAAGTAACTCCTTAAAATGACATTGGAATGTCTTAAATCGGAAAAGAAGAGTTTAAGAGAAAGCACTGGACATAGAGTTGGAGCTGACTTCCAGCCCAGCTCTTCCACAGACAAGCTGTGTGGGCCTGTTATCTAATTAACCTTTTCAAGCTTTGGCAACCTCATCTGTGAAGGAGGGGTCTGGGCTAGAGGATTTCCAAAGTCCTCTCCAGGTCTGAAAGGCTGTAAGTCCATTTTTTAAAGTAATTATTTAAAATAATCATTGGAACACGGAGAGATGAGATTTTTAGTTTCACATTTCCTACTTCATTTTTCTCTACATGTCAAAGAACTTATACCAATCACAGCCCACTCTAGATGCAATGCCCATCCCAATAGGAATTTCTCATAGGAATTTAATGGGTTCGGTGACATCAGAGATTGGGTACTTTTAGTTATAAGCATCATGTAAGTGGAAATATCAACAGTAAGGCAAGAGAATATAGATGATAAGGCTTGCCCTTTCCCAGAGAAAGAAGGATATTGTTAAAAGAAATTCTGTTGTCAGATGACTTCTCTTTATAAAGTGATGTAACTTGGGTTCATGAATCAACGTGTTTAAAGTGTGTTTGATCACATAGCACCTTTGTGAGACTCAGCATATCATGGAATGGCAAATGGTGACATGCACCATGCAAAGGCCGTGTTCTATCAGCCATGGAGAACTCAAACATGATCGAACTAGATGTTCACATTGGTCATCTGGTCCTTTCTGCCTTCAGGAGTGTGAATGACAAGTCCCAGATTCATGTTCCTAATCGACACAGAGCTGGCTGGACATGCATCAGACTAGTTTTTATGTTCCCCGAGGTGTGCTCTGCAGGTTTTGATACATTGGTAATGCTTTCAAGGGAGTAGAGGTTACATTGATCAAGCAACTTGGGGGGAGCTCATGGTTAAAGTTAAGTGGAACCCTTTATCGTACTACCTCTCAGAGTGTGTAATGTGTAAGATGCATGTGTCAATCTCCAGGAGAAGGATTTGGGTATTTGGTGCTTTCCTATCATTTGATTTCGGAACAACCACCCTGGTTTTTGGTTGGTTGGTTGGTTAGTTTTAGGATACCTCATGGTAGAGGTATTCTAAGGAAGACACTGTGTAAAACCCTCTTTTGCTCTTTCACGTGTACCACACTAAAAATTGTCTAGCATTTTCTTGAATGTTCTGTGATATCTACCATCTTCATCAAAAAGACAGTAGCATACTTACTAAGCGGGTTGACAGTGCTCAAAACACCGTGCATTGCTGTTCCTCTAGTCCTTTTCTAAAAGGAGCCTGCAGTGTGGTGACTAGGAGGACAGACTTCCTACTCAAGGT